CACCTGTTCTCCTTTTCACCTGTTAAGACTGCTGGTCCTCTCTGATCCCAGGTGCTCAGGTTCAATCACTTTATTATCACAGATGGTAAACTTGATTCGCAGTTAGGGGCCCAAATGAAGATGTGCGTCTTTTAGCATTTGCGTTGTCTTTTAGCGTTTGCATCTCTCTGATACTGTCGAAAAGGTTCTGAAACAGCAGCGAATATCAGACCGTACTGGTAGCAGTGGATACTGGATCAAACGGCGAGTGACCAATAAGCAATAATACAGATCTGACAACAAAGCTGACGTTAATGTGCTTTATTTGGATTTACTGATGAACATTTTACAGTTCAAGCCAACCAGACAGAGCAGATGGACTCTCATCGTCTGATTGGCCGTTGTGCTGTTCAGTTGAAGCAGGTTCAGTTTTCAGTGGAAGACGTTGTGTAGCTACAACTTTCACTTCAGGAGGACGTTGAAACTGCTCCACTTCAACCATATTTGTATTTATTGTTTACAGTTACATGCTGATGGAAATCATGGCCCAAACATATGTTTATATATTATATGATATTGAACTGATGGAATGATCGTAAGCATTTTGGGGTCACAGTTTATTCATTTGAATAAAAACAAATTCTTGTCAAGGTACAGAAGAATTCAAGTGTTGACATGATCTACTCATCCTCTGGCCCCTTTCCCCAGTTTGGGAACCTCCATGTAAACAGATGAAACATGATACAACATAATTGTAGGGCACATCAACATGTGATGATTTGGTATAAAAACATTCCCACGTCTTTTTAATAAGCAGGCAGTCAGTTAACGAGCTGATTAATGCTTCATTTAATGTTGTGCTGGAAGACTTCCTTATTGCTACAACGACCACTTCCACCTCGATTCCACCACTTCCTTTACTCATCCTTCAGCACGATTCACAGTTTCAATGGACATAAAGTTTCATGTTGTAAATGCGTCCTTCCTCTTTATTTTCCTTCCTGTTTCCTTCCTGTTTCCAGTCCTTCCTGATGTGATGCTGATGTCATTAAAAAGTCCTGTGACTTCAGATTTGTGCTGTCAATCATTAAGTCAGCTCCTGATTGGTCGTCCCATTTCCTCAGCCCTCCTCCTCCTGCCTCAGACCAGAATCCACCTGGGAGATCATCCTCAGCTTCTCCCTGTTGGAGTACTTCCTGTGTGACGTCACTTCCGTGCCTTGTGATGTCACATGGTGTGATGTTGTGACCTCAGTCGACTCAAACGATTCGTCCTCTCTGTGCGGCAGTTTGCTGTAACCCGTCGTGCTGCTGGAGGTTGGCAGGCTTCGCCTCCTGCAGGAGGGAGCCGGTGTGGACGAGGAGGAGGACAGCAGGTGAGAGAGGGAGGAGAGTGAAAGGTGTGAGGAGGAGAGGAGCAGGGCCTGGGAGCCTCCTGGTGCCTCCCTGTGGACACTGGAGGAGCTGCAGGAAGCTGCTGATGAACCCTGGAGGGCTGTGAGCAGGGGAGGAGTTGAGGAGCACAGAGGAGGTGGTGCACATGTATACATCTCCTCCTCCTCCTCCTGTCTGTGGCCTCCCCCATCCCTCTTATGCTCCTTCTGTCCTTTCGTGCCCCCCTCCCAGCCCCAGCCTGTCCTCGCCCGAGCTGAATGCCTCCTGTGTGGAGCAGGGGGTTGTGGCCGACGCAGGGGTAAGGTGAAGGTGCTGAGCGTGTCCTTCTGTGGGGAGATCCAGCAGGTGGAGAGGTGAGGGGGGCTGAAGCTGGGGGGGAGGGAGAGTCTATGTGAGGAGGAGGGGGGAGGAGGATGAGTGTTTGGCTGCTCTTGGTAGATACTGAACACTGTGTCTCCTCCTTCTCCATCACAGCCACCACCTCCTCCTCCTGCTCTGCTGCTGCTGTCGGGAAATGGTTGACGAGACAACGGCCCACCTCCTCCTTCTCCTCCTCCACCCCCTCCCTCCTTCCTGTTCATCAGGGAGGCGGGGTATGCCCTGGGTTTGGTTTCCAGGCTCTTTGATTGGACGTAGTTAACAAGGCCGTTGAGGGGATTGGTGGAGGAGCGGTGGGTGGAGGAGGCGTTGGGTTTTCGGAGGCTGTGGAGGTCGATGACGGTGGAGTAAATGTCCCGCAGGTTGATAATTTTGGTCTTCTTGTCACGGTTCTCATGCAGGACGGCGTTTGCACAGATGAACAGGAAAATCCCAATGCCCATGATGAGAGGACCAAAGACCTTCAGCCTATCAGAGTACAGATACCTGCAGGGACAGTTAATACAACCAATCAGAGTACAGATACCTGCAGGGACAACCAATCAGAGTACAGATACCTGCAGGGACAGTTCATACAACCAATCAGAGTACAAATACCTGCAGGACAGGACTACCACAATATCCTACAGAAGCACTAGAACCTACTGCAGGACTGTGGCCCCCCCGCCTGACAGAAGAGTTTATTTACCTGTCCAGAAAATCCTCCAGAAAGCCTTGTGGAAGCTGTTGGGTCCCGTTGATGGTTTCTGTCCGGTTAAAAACATCATCACCTCCTCCCTCTTCATCACCGCTGTCTCCTCCTTCATCTCCTCTACCTCCACCTTTGCTGTCTGCTTTATCTCCTTCCAGATCCTCCCCCGTCCCTCCTCCCTGGACACAGCCAAAGACGGAAGTTCAACAAAATGTTAAATTAAACCTGCCCCTAAAGAGTTCAAACTGCCAACAAAGGTCAGACAGGTCTGGGTGTCACCTGAGCGTCAGCAGGTGCAGGTGTAGAGCCGCCAGAGGACACTGAGGCCATGGTGGCGCCCTCTTGTGGCCGAGTACTGAAGAACAGCCCGTCTCGAGGCCAGTAACCCAGAGCTGCCATGACCACGCCCACCAGCAGAACCAGGATGCCGAGAGCCGCCACGAGACCCGAGACTGAAAACAGCTTCAACTTCCCCTTCACTACCACCACCTCACTCCTCCTGAGGGGGCAGGAAGTGACATCATCATATACTGACAGATTACATCATCCCTGAAGGACTGTCTGTGTGGGCATGTTACCTCTTCTTCTTGGTCTTCCTCTTGTGTGTGTGTGCTTTGTGTGTTTTGGACTTCAGTGAGTCCTGTCGCCGTGCATTGATCCGCAGGAGGCCGCCGGTTGCAATCATCACCACCCACCAATCAGACGGTGGCTCAGCAGGCTAAGCCCCGCCCGCCGCCACCTCACCTGGGCTCAGTCAGCAACTTCCTGTAAGAGAAAGACATAGGTACAGAGAGAGAGAGATTATGTGTTTAATTATTAATTCATTCATTTAGCTTTGACTTCTAACTTGACAAAAAAAACTAAATGAAAACGAAGAGACTGAATATGACAACAAAGAGGCAAAACGACAACAAAGTGACTGAAAACCATAATGAAGAGACACAAAACGACAACAAAAAGACACAAAACGACGACAAAGAGACAAAACGACAACAAAGTGACTGAA